TACTTGGTAGTGGAGGTGGCTCCACTTTGGGTGGAGCCGGCTCCTTTGTGCGTTTTTATTTTTTTTGGTTTTTTGGTTTTCTGCGAGACTGCTAGCTCCTGTGCTTGGGTTAATGGGTTTCCAGGGGCAACTGAGAGTTTAATTAGAGGTTCTCAGTGATGTTTAAATTCTACTAAAACTTCAGAAGGCATGAAAATACATATTATACTATAGAAGGTTAGTAGAAGGGACGTTATGAAATTGTTAAGAAAGTTTACATGGTTGCCTTGTGCGGATGATTCAAGTTGTTTAATTTTAATTTAGCAATTGAATTAGGAGTTTGATATGTAAATCATATATCAGTGGTATGGGATTAAACCTATTAACTAATATAAATTCAGTTAATACGTAATATGAAACCAGTTGACGTTAACAAGAATTTATTTATGTCAACTTGTGGGATGTTGTGGAATAATTACAAGTAAGCATGTATATACTATTGTTATTGTTATGATGCTTATTGTGAGTTACAGGATGGTTATATTTCTTCTCTGCATTTAAAAATTTGTCAGAGAATCAGGTACTAGATGTATGGAACAAGCGTGCTAATTAAACATTCTTATTATGCTTATGATTAGATATATTGATATTGATATGTTATGCTATCATATATATATAATCAATACTGGATGGATGGTTTGTATGCACCGGTATGGGACGGTGTCATACTAGGGGGATTAGCTCAAAAATCCTAAGTCCTACCTACTCTGGATTAAGGGATGGATTAACAACAAAAGTTAAGTCCTACCTGTCTTCTATGTCGAATCAATAAATAATTGAGTGACACTTTGGTTTGAAATGGAATTTAAATATATTTTTATGATGCCACGATATGAGCCTGAGTCTCAGAGTCCTTGGTTAGGGAGCGTATATGCATTGGGATGCATAACTGGCTATGATGGTTGGATGTGTACCCTGCTAGGACTAGGTAGTCATGCCCACCTTTGGGTGCGTTTTCGCATGGTGCCTACTAGTCAGGTTGAGACAGGCCTGTAGTCTAGTGAGAGTCCTGTAGTGTGATTATATATATTTATCTACGGACTATTAGCTATTGTTGGATTGGTTAGGATGTACATGCGTATCGGGTCTCTGCTTGGGTAGTAGTAGTATAGAACTTGCATGTGGGCCTGACCCACTCATCATTTTTCAGGTATCGGACATTTCCAGTCTAGAGCTTGTTCGTGCTGAAAAGAGACGATCTTCCATTCTACCGACGACGTAGGACTTCTTTCCAAATATTAGATTTGGATTTTATTTTCAGTTTTTACTTTCATTTAGTTTGGGATTTTTATTAGGGGTCCACTAGAGATGGATTCCCGAGTTGTAAACTTATGGAGGTTTTGGATTACCGAATTTAAGTATTTATTGTTAAAGGATTTAATTTAGTTTCCGTCAGCTATTAAACTTTATTTCTTAAATTCAATTTTGTATTCTGTGTTCGTTATAACATATTAATTGTTTGATATCCCTCGGGTTTGGGCCTGGGCCTGATCAACCCGTGTCTCGAATCCGAGGGGTATCACAAAACCCGTGATGTAGTTGCAAATGAGTTGTGGAACAACTATCGTGATAGATGAATCACTGTTATTTGCTCATTATAATATTGTCACTTTTATTAGGATTAATTTTCTATTTGGATATTGTAATATTGTCACTTTGGATTAATTTTCTATTTGGATATTGCAATATTGTAACTTTTATTTGGATTAATTTTGTATCTAAATGCCATTTGAATTCATGTTATAATCTGCATACTTTTGATATTATGTGTATGCTGGGCCGAAAAATTAGAGTTGTGTTTCACTTGCTACTATACTAATATAATCTGCCCGAGCTTATTTCAACTTTATTACAGGGGAAATGCTTCATTACTTAAAGGCGTTTGAGCGTTTTCCCACATATAATAGATTTACATGAACAAACTGGTATTGACCCTGTCCATATGGAAGAAACAACAGAGATGGGATACATTAATAACACACACTACTACTACTACAATAATTAATTATACATGATATTTCTTTATTACATGAATTCAATCTAATTAGGCATTAGTTATGTAGCTACAACTTTTTGATTGCAATGGAACCCGCTTTCGGTATTCTGCCAAAGCCCACACTGGGTATATATTCTTGTAGGCTGCATAGTGTAACATGCAATTTTTCATGAAAACTCCAGTAATTTCTTGCATGTAAAAGTGAGATGGATCATATATTAGATAACTCCCCAATAAAAAAAAAAGTTCAATCAATATTACATTATGGATTAGAGTGTATTGCCTACTTCAAACCATTTCTTTCTTTATACATGTTGATTTTACATCTTAACAAAATCAGAACCAAAAGCAATTCAAGAACCAAAAGCAAAAATAGAAATTTATTATTTTTTACTAAACACAATTTCTGTGTTTTGTTTTCAAATTTCAAAAGTAGACAGCAGTTTACTGAACACACTTTTTGTGTTTTGCTTTCAAATTTCAAAAGTAGCTCGCAGTTTATTAAACATAATTTTACTTTCTGTTTTATCTCAAAGAAATCAAAATTATGATTTTACTTTTCGAGAAAGCGAAAGTAAGAAAGTAAAAGCGTTAGGGCCTGTTTAGTAATATGAATTATTTCCTACTTTCTACTTTCAATTCTGAAAAAGCAAAAATAAAAGTAAAATGATGTTTATTAAATTACTTTCACTTTTTGATTTTGAGAAAGTAATTCCTAAATTTGTGAAGAGAAGAGAAAGTGAAATTTTCTCACTTTCTCTACTTCCTATACTGTGCGGACGAAGTAATTTCCGCGCTGTAGCGCTAAATACTGTAGCTTTAAAACCTAAACTCTGTCTCGTTTATATCATCGTTTGCAAGCCTCTGCCTCTTGTCTGCTTCAAGAAAGCCCTAGCCTCTCACCTCATCTGCTACAAGAAAGTTTTACCGATCGTCATCCCTTATCTGCGAGCGTCGATCGGCAATGGAGACTCAACGGCCGACCAACACTTCGCCTGTAAGTTCACCCTCTCTTCTCAGATTCTCTTTCTTCTTAGATGCTCTCTCTCCTCGTGTATGAAGATTTTGCCCTAGAATCTGCAATTTTATTCCTGAATGTGTATGTGTATATCTGTATGTGTATATCTATATGTGTATATATAACAATTTGTCTCAGTGCCCTCAAATCAAAGACCTCTTCAGCCTTGATTCCTTTGTTTTCGTTTACTGAATGTGTATATATTTACATGATCTGTTTAAAATATTTCCGAAAATAGAAGAAGTGTTTAAAATATTTTTCATTGGCTGGATTTGGTGGTTGTCGATTTTTATAGATTGATTGTTTAATTGGTTGTCATTTTATTGTGCATGTGAAATTTTATATATAAAGGCTTCATTTTTGAAAGTTCCTCTAACATCTCTCAAATTTTTTAGAATTTATTGCCTAACAAATTTATAGTTATAATGAATTACACTTAAATCTGTCATTAATCTATCCATCATGCTTTTGAGTGAATTCCACAGTGTTGGAAAGGGCTTGCCATGAACTACCTCACACTCTGCTTCCACTTGTAGATTATCAAATAGGGTGTAAATTGGTCAAAAGAAGAGATAGGGTACTGAGTGGTGAATTGTTTAGAAATAAATTGGTAATTTTTTTTTTTATGAGTTTAAGATTGATTGTTGAATTGATTGTCATTTCTGTGCATTAGATATATGTCGAAACCTATGAGTCCCAACTTCTAAGCTACCTACTTCTGTTTTCAACTTGGCCAAATGGCTGGAATTTCTTATGTTTTTTCCTGGTGTGCGTGTGTGTGTTTGTGTGTGTTCCTGGAACTAGATTCTTGTTGATGGTACCTAATAAGATACCTATCCAGATCTACCAAGAAAATGAACCAATTTGAGATTGTCATAACACTATTCATATTGCAGATGACATGTGCCACATAGAGCCAAATATGCTAAAGCAATTTTTCATTGCCCAAGTCTTACGAAAGTTTTGTCCTTATATATGTATCTTAGCATCATTATTGCATTAAATGCCATGCTAAATTTTCAGAGGCCTTCAAATGTAGTTTCTAAGTTTCTTTCTAAGTTTCTCATATTAATATATAGAGGTTACTTTGTAGACACATCTTGAAAAAAAGTATCCTGAAAATGGCCAAATATTGAATTAATTAACTACTAGAGACCATAGAAATTTTTTTTTTTTTTTTTTTACTTTAATCCAAAACTACTAGCAGAGGAAAATAAAGCAACACTTCTTCCACACACGATGACAAATGTGATGGGTCAATTTTTCTCCAAAACTTCCTTTTGAATGTCATCTGAATTCATAGTCATTGTTATAATAGACCCTGTTAAATGCTTTGAATGCTGAAATATGTTTTTTTACTACTATTTGGTACAACATACTTTATCATATAAACTGAAAATATGCATTTCAAAAAATAAATAATAATAATAATAATAAAAGAAGTAGAAATATGCCTATCTAAGTCTGCAAATGTTCTCTCTCTTTAAACTGCTGGTAATCTATAGTTACCATAAGAACTATGTAATTATAAACTGGATTTTTTTCTGATGAAAACTGTTTGATGTTGACTTGGGACTCCTGGGATACTTCTGAGATTCTCACTTGGAAAGTCTAATTAGTTTACCACATGCTTAGAATGAGCTTTCTGTTAAGTCTGTTAAGTTAATAATTCTTTGAATAGCTTTAATTTTCAGTTTCCTCTTAGATACTTGAACCCTTACTCTGTGAACATGGTACTTGAACACTTAATGTAGAAGTAGAGTAGATAATAGTTACAATTTAAAAATTTTCAAATATTATATAGGAGTTCATTCACAGTATTATATGTTCAATGCTAAGTTGTAGAAGTGTGTTAATTGTTGTAGTGATGTATCAAAGTACTCAATTAAGTTGTGTTAGCCACTTTGGTATATAGTAATTATTCACATAGTATTAATTGTTGTAGTGATGGATCAAAGTACTCAATTATTGGACGGGGATAATGTGGTCGAGGATCAAAGTTCTCAATTTCTATGGAGTGAAAAAAATGAAGAGATCTTAATAACTTTGATGGAAGAAGAAAGAAAGAATGGAAATCGAAAAAGCACCACATTTTCTACTGAAGGATGGAAAAATTTAGAAGAAGGGATGTTAAGGTTGACTAAAGAAAAGTATACGAACTTACAATTGAGGAATAAATTCAATGGGTTGAGAGACAGATATAAAGCATACAAAAAATTTCTATCCAACACTGGTTTGTCATGGGACCCTGTAACTGGTCAGGTCACACTTACAGATGCCCAATGGGAGGAGATGGAAAAGGTTAGTTGGAATATATTATTTATAATATTATCTATTGTTTCATATAAATTAACAATAATATATAATTGCAGCAAGTCAGGCATGCCAAACGGTTTCGGAAAAAAGGGTGCAAACATTATGATCTGCTTAGTAACTTATTTGGTGATACATATGCAACTGATAATCGTGCTTATCCTTCAAATAGAAGCCCATGTATAAGTGGTGATGAGGGAGATGAAAATCCTAATGAGATCAATGAAGTGGTGGATACTTCTCGTCATAGGAGTCGGTCTCCTGAACTCACTCGTACAAGATTAACTAAAGAGAGCTTTCAAAAAACAATTTCCTCTGCTACGAGTGGATTTGGCGAATATTTTAAGAAAAAGGCAGAGGCACTAGACAAGGGTGGAGGCTCAAGTGGTATGTCTCAAGTTGATCAAGACTCCGCTAAAGTTACTGAATGCTTGCAAATCTTAGAAGACATGGGACCAATTGATGGAGACACATTTTTCAAGGCCCTAAAACAATTTCGTGCAGATCCGCTATGGAGTAGAGTATTTGTTAACCTTAGTGATGAGAAGAAGCGGGACTGGCTTGAAAGGCTGCAACTGGGACTAGATTGATAGGCTGCAACATTATGTGTTGATGGGTTGCAATTGTTGTGTTTGTTTGAGACAATGTTTTTTCTTTTGGTGTTTGTAATTTCTATTTGGGATTTGTTTAAGCTAGTAAACTTATGTCTGTGATTTAGAACTAGTAAACTTATGTCTGATGTTAAATCCCTGGATTTGTTTTGCTAATGTTTATTATTTCTTTGCTTTAATTTATGTCCTTTTTTATGTGTTAATATGAGATATTATATATGTCATTTGAAGATGAATTTAGTGTTTTCCCGTAACTTTTATTGAATGCATTATCATTTTATGCATCTCATGTTTCATTGCATCAGGTTTACCATTATGGATCCATTTTGTTTGCCTACTTTAATTGATGATGATGAAGAAAATGAAAAGGAGGAAATGGGGGTGTGTTTGTTGTTTATTTACATGTTCATAGAGTACATGGAACATTATATGCTTCCACCAAGACCATGTATGACTTCTATGCTTCAAGGCCATAATTATATACTTGAACTAGTAAATGGCCACCCCATTAGGTGTTATCGACTCTTTAGGATGGATAAACATGTATTTAGAAATTTATGTGAACGGTTAAAGGGATTGGGCTTGGAAGATTCTAGATACTTAACCGTACAAGAACAAGTTGCAATGTTCTTGTATACTCTAGCACACAATGAGAGTGTTCGAGTGGTGGCAGAAAGATATCAACATTCTACGGGGACTGTGCATAAATATTTCCACTGAGTTTTAAAGTATGTTTGCAAATTAGGGAAGAGTATAATATGTCCACCAAATATGAACGAGGTACCATTGGAGATTCAACATAATGAGAAATACTTTCCATTCTTTCAGGTAGTTTTTTTAAAAAAAACATTTTTACTTAATTAATTGGTATTGTGAATTTATATTTACTAACAAAATAATGTGTTGTAGAATTGCATTGGTGCAATTGATGGTACACACATCCATGCAAATGTCCCAGCATCTTCACAAATTCCTTATCGTGAAAGGAAATCAGACACAACACAAAATGTAATGGCTATTTGTTCTTTCGACATGAAGTTTACATATGTGGTGGCAGGTTGGGAAGGCTCCGCGAATGACTCAAGAGTATTATTGGAAACTATTTTTGATCCTACAATGAATTTTTCGTTGCCACCCGAAGGTATTAAATTAAGATATCATATGTTTAAGATATCATATTAAATTAGAAAAAAAGTAATTGTTTTTTGTTTGTGCAGGTAAGTATTATCTTGTGGATTCTGGGTACACCAATATGAGGTATTTCTTAGCACCTTATCGTGGCGAAAGATATCATTTACAGGAATATAGGGGGAGACGAATAAGGGGTCCTCATGAACTATTCAACTATAGGCATTCGTCACTGAGAAATGTGATAGAACGTTGTTTTGGTATATTAAAAATGCGTTGGCCGATCCTTAAGTTGATGCCTCCTTACAAACTGAGTGTACAAGCACTCATTGTTATTGCTTGTTGCACATTACATAATTTTATTCGTGACGAAGCCCGTTTAGATCGTCTTTTTGATGAATATGGGGATGAGAATGTCAATCTTCAAGAAGAAGAAGAAAAAGAAGAAGAAGTGGAGCTAGGTGGTACTTCTCAGAGAGTAAATGTTACACATGAGCTAATTCAAGAGATGAGTGAAACCTATGATGCAGTTGCAAATGAGTTGTGGAACAACTATCGTGATAGATGAATCACTTCTATTTGCTCATTATAATATTATCACTTTTATTAGGGTTATTTTTTTATTTTTCTATTTGGATATTGTAATATTGTTACTTTTTATTAGGATTAATTTTTTATTTGGATATTGTAATATTGTTATTTTTATTTGGATTAATTTTGTATCTAAATGCCATTTGAATTCATGTTATAATCTGTATGCTTTTGATATTATGTGTATGCTGGGCCGAAAAATCAGAGTTGTGTTTTACTTGTTACTATACTAATATAATCTGACATCTTTTTATATTACATTGAGTTGCAACAATGTGACATCTTTTTCTAGTTGCATCTTTAATTTAATGATGTTGTATGATATTGCACTTTTGATTCATTCCTAGATAAAATCCTATGATCCGAATCTGTTGATTTCGATTTAACTAGTAGATCAACTATAGTATCCCTTAACTTTCATTCAGCTTATTTTTAAAAATTATAATCACTTTGATTTTTGTAGAGACTTTGTAGTGTCATGTAAAATTACAAAGTTCCAATTAACCCCCACAAATCTCAATAAAGGAGAGCAGAATTTTTCTCCAACACTCCAATTGAGCATATCTTAATAAAGTTCATGGCCCCATGGGTAGGGACTGAAAGGATCGATAGAGAATTTCATTCTTGTAATATAAATTTCATAAAATGCAGAATAATTAGCATGAGATCTACTGTACCACATTGGAAATTTCAGCTAATTTTTGAAATCCCGGGTTCAAACCTCAGCAGCGGAATTATTTTCTAATAATTTTTCATTTTTTATTTGGTAATGAGCCATAAATGATTTATCTTTTTGTGAAAAATAAAATAAGGAGCAGACTAATGACATTTACTTTAATAATTGTGGAAAAGGGTTTAACATAGGCTTAGTAATTATAGCCATGCATTACTAATATGTAAGTTTTGGGTGTAACCCAAAAAAATAGAAGAAATCATTAGCCTCAGTTTTTAAGTTGATTATGAAGGTTGAATTTGTTCTTCTAAGATTAAATTTAATCAGCAATAATGTGAAGGCTAAAATAATACTGTAGCTTTATTTGTTAATAGACTTTTATAAATGCCAAAATGCAATAAATATAAAAAGATATAAAACAATGTAAATTACTAAAAGCAAAAATAGAAATTTATTATTTTTTACTCAACACTCTTTCTTTGTTTTGCTTTCAAATTTCAAAAGTAGACAGCAATTTACTAAACACACTTTCTGTGTTTTACTTTCAAATTTTAAAAGTAACTCGCAGTTTACTAAACATAATTTTACTTTCTGTTTCATCTCAAAGAAATCAAAATCATGATTTTACTTTTCGAAAAAGCGAAAGTAAAAAAGTAAAAGTATTAGTAAACGGGCCTTTGGTTTCTTTCCAACTTTGCTCCTTAGCTCCAAAATTGGGCTAAATGGCTTTTGTTAGCCTGTTTGAACTTTATTAACCTGAAATTGGCAATAACACAAATAAACACTTAAGACATGAAAGTTAGATAGATGAATGGACTAAAATACCCTAATTTAAGTGTTAAAATGCCTTACATTTGAGCAGTTATCAAAAATAACTTATTCTTACATGGAAATGGCCTCTACACTTGAATCAATATCGAATCAATATCTTATAAGAATAAGTTATTTGAGTGAAAAGGTTAGTAAGCCCAATATTGATGTAGAGGCTCGTAGAATTGGAGATAACACTTTTATTGTATAGATTCAGAACTTAAAATTCCAATCCATGTGCCTATATGTACTATATGGCCATGTGACGAGAATAAGCCTTTTGACACTACTAGCGTGATACATCGCTATACACGTTTTCTCTCCAGAATTGGAGTATTATAAGATGTGTGAATCATCATCTTATTCTTACATGGAAATGGCCTCTACACTTGAATCAAGATCATGAAAAGAAAACCCTCAAATTTTTAAAAACTCCAATCCCCTGACCGCTGTATGGTTTAAGAAGTTGATGGATCTAAAAATTATACCAAATATCAGTTCATTAGGTGGGGCAGGTTCGGCCGAAGCAGTCGCCTATGGCCTCCAATTTAGAAGGGCTTCAAATTTGGGTTGCGCTGTTTAAGGAATAAGTTAAAAAAAAAAAAAAAAAAAAAAAAAAAAAACTGGGCTATAAAAGAAATTGGGTTAGGTCACTAATTGGCTTCAACAAATTTTTTTTTTTCTTTTTTGGAACACTGATTTTTGCTACAGTGGCCTTTTGCTTCATTAACTTAAAACTGGGCTAACAGGGAATGGGCTTAGTGGGTTCTAAAAGGAAATTGGGCTGGCCCACTAAATTATAAACTAAAGTTGGGATTTTTGTGATCCACATGCAGAAAGATGAAAAAGCAAAACAAAAAATATATATATATTTATTGACTCTCATGTTATTTATTTATTTTTTTTTAAAAACGAACTTAAGAAATGCAATGAATCCTATTATTGTCTGGGTTACAAACCAGGTCAAAGGAATGAAAGACTAAAGAAACTTTTGCCAATAAATTACAAGGGGATTTTGAAGGTGGGACCTCTTAGAGAGTGCTTGCCCACCCTACCATCTCTGTTGGAGTACTTTCTTGTGCTAAACTTTGGCTACTTCAAATATATAAACGTGTTTGCTGTAGTCACTTTTCACTTGTTTGCCATTTTTATTCCGAAATTGATCTTTTATTACAAATAACTTGAAAAGATAAAAAAGATTCATTAATTAATTAAAATAAATATAATAAAGTATTATTAACTATTCTAGTTAAAGTTGCATCTGTTGAGAAAAGCTTTTCAAAATTGACATTGATCAAATATTACCTACGATCTTTGTCACAAGAAAAATTGAATGGATTGGTTATGATATCCATTGAAAAATATATGTTGGAGAAATTTGATTGTAACAGTTTAATTGATAAATTTGCAACTCAAAATGCAAGACGATCAATCGATCACACTTATTTTAATATGAAGTTGAATTTTGATTTTTATGACTAAGTTGTGTACAATGTATATATTTTTAAAAATCTTTTTGATATAAATTGGATCGTATTCTTTATAAAGCACCAAGACGGAATTTTGTTTTGTGTTTTCAACTTTAATACACTTTATGTGTTCATCGTCTAATTTTAATGAAATTTTTGCATTCTTATAAAAATTTTGTTTGTATGAAACCTTATGTATAAAGGTGTGGAGAGGAATTTCCCCATCAATTGCAGTACACCACGCGTCCATATAAATAAAGGATGAATGAGAAGAAAAAGACATTGAATTCCAATTATATTTCTTCTGTTGTCAAACTCGTTTAAATTTAGTCGTACTTTCTTGTTCATTTTTTCTTAAGTGTTCTAGTGTAAAAATCTGCACTTACAAAAAGACCCCGTATTTCAGAGTTCACCCAGGTCCCTCAAAATTTTGAAAATCTGGCCCTGAGGTGGGGTGGTAGCTCAGTGAAATGATCCTATAGGAATTATAAGCATGATAAGCACATAGAGAGAAGCTCCACAAGAACCAACATACATATTAACTGAAGCATTGAAGTGTAGATTCTTATTTAAAAGGTACTACTACAATTAACACTAGCTAGCCAAAATCCTAATTACAAAGACAGTCGAACAGACACTTCTTGCAAAAAAACATATTGCGCAAAACCATGTAAACACCTAGCTAGCTAGCTAACAAGCATTGAAGGAAGGTTCTTATTCAATGCTTCTTAGTCGCTGGTTCCTTCTGGGCATTGAAATAAACGGTTGATACCGGCAAGCCAAGGTCAAGTCGATGTGCGAATGCTCGTGTGTTGAAGTTGGCGCGTGACACGGGCTGCTCAATCTGACCTAGTGCTACTTTCTGGCGATAAAGAACCAATATGTACCTGTGGATGCCAACCGGTGGCCGTGGTCCCATATATGCCAAGATCTCTCTTCCTGCACACAAACCATTCTGGTTAGCATGCTAAACCTATCCACATAAAATGTACTATATATATATATATATATATATATATATATATATATCTCTTTCTTGCCTATGCCCTGGACTCTGAATTGTCGATTTTAAGTATCATTTACTTGAAATTTACTTCAAATGACAGTCGGAACAATATATAAACTCATCGACATGAGGGGTCTGAGGGGATGTTGGTTTAGTGAATAAATGCTTATCAACTTAATATTTCTCAATCTATGTTTTCTTTCATTAATAACAAATCATGCACAATTGAAAAGTCTCACTTAAGTAAATGTAGCCTAAACTTACTTGGTGAATAAATGGTAGCTAGGAGTGATGTTCAAGGAATTAAGGTTGTAAGGAACAATTAATGTTGTCTTGTCCCGTTCAAGTTGCTAATCTTCTACCCTAAAGAAAATAGAGTTCCTGTCTAAATTAAAATCTTATTTATTAAACAAATGGAAGTTTAACAATATGCTCTCTGAACAAGTCTCACCTGATGCTTATAGTGGACCCGGACCCATGATGGGTCCCACTGCAGAGCATCTGAAGTCCTTTGGTTTTTTTGCTACTATTTTGGTTGAGTACTTTTTACTGGTGTGCAATTTTGGGCGAGTCGGTCCGAACTCAATTCCAGACCTGCCCATTTTCTAACGAGTTTGGGCAACCATGTTAACAATTAGTGTTGAATTTAGGATACAAATTTTTAATCTGAACTTAATTAAGGTTAAACTTAAGTTAAGACGCTAACAAAATCAACCGTACCCAAATCCAAATTTTAATATTAAAATTTATTATATATAATATGCAAACTTTTTTCTTTTCAACTTCCTTTCTTTAAAACTTAATTTATTATATATTAACAATAGTATAAAACCACACAGAGTTATAACAAGTAGCTAGTTTGATTTTAGGGTACCGGTAAACACACAAGGAACACAATTTTTTGAAAGGTTTAATAACGTTTTATCTTAACCCGAAAAAAAATAAAAAAATAAAAAACCTATTATTTATTAAAATAATATGCAAATGTAAAACTATAACTCTTCCTTTTAACAAGTAAAATAATTTAAAAGAAAAAGAAAGAAAAAAAGAATTAGAACAAAACTTCAGAACATTTTGACTTTAATGGAATTTGGCGAACAATTCTGGACTTCTAGGTAAGACACAAATTAACATACCACCTGTCAACTTTAATGTTTGGCATGTGTAACAGTATGACCTTGCATGTTGGACAGAGGAGTGAGACACGTGTCACGAATTTTCAGTATATTTTTTTTTAAGTAAAATATTCTTTTATTTTTACTTTGTTGGTATTTGGCAAAAGCCTATATCGAGGTTGAGGTCGAATTCATCAAACGGGACATGTAAAATAACTTGTCGAAAATTGATGAATAAGTTATTTTTGTTAAATTTTAATATTTTTTTTTTCGTAAATATTTTACGCAGTCAACCACCAAAAAATAAAAAAATATTTTCTATAAAATATTTTATATCCAAATAAACGGAGCTTAATGGAATTTGGCAACAATCCTGGACTTCGAGGTAAGACACAAATTAACATACCACCTGTTAACAGTATGAGTTTGCATGTTGGACAGAGGAGTGAGACAAGTGGCACACACGTGTCACGAATTTGCATTGGAATCATTCTAGGTTTAAAGTTTACCCCCTTTGCGTATATCGAATGCATAATACATTATAAGGGACAATATATATATATATATATATATATATATATATATATAATACAATCAAATTAATTGTGATATTAAATTCTCAATTTAACAATGAGTGATGCAAATTTTACTAAATTATACTGTATTAAAAAATGAAATAGAAAAAAAATTACTGGCTCATGTCCCATCATATACAACTCCAATACAATCCGTGTAATGATCTGAGTATATATGTACGTACAATAGTGCAGGACTGGTTACTTTTTGAAGATATATATATTTTTTTCTTTTTAAAAAATAAAAAATGATTAGACAGACTGAAATGCATATATGTGTGTGTATATATATATAATCATAAAGAACACAACGTTGCTAATTACTAGCTTAGCAAGCATGATTGCGCGCGACAAGTGAAAATCAGACATGAAAAATAAATTAACCTAAAAAAAAAGTGAACATTTTAACGAAGAGATGATGAACACTTTTTACCTCGGATAGGTCTGTTATTTCCAGAAATATCAGTGACTATCCTGAAAATAAATAAGGTAAAAAGTAAATAAAATTAGCTGGTGCGCGCACAGAGCTTGGGAGGAGAAGAAATTAAGAAAATGAAAACATAGAGACTGACCAATGAACCCACTCCCTCATGGAGGGTTCACTGGGACTAGGTGCATCTGGGTCTGTCATCACCTATATATATAAAACCAATTAATTACACAATTACTGATCAATTAATTATGAAAATAATCAACTTGCATGCATTGAATAGTAGCTAAGCTAACTCAAAAATTAATATTTTACATATATAACAGTAGTAATGAAATGAAACGAACCAGAGTAAAAAGTTTATCAGCGTGGCCTGAGATGACGACTCTGGGAGGATTAGCAGCAACGGAAGGCTTGATATTACAGCCATTGGTGACATGTTTGGAGTCGTAATAAACAGACATGTTAACGGTGGGTATAAACATGTCCACCACATCCCCGATCACTCTGCCCACCACCAAAGGATCTACAGTCGTAGCCATGACCCAATTTTATATCTATATATATATATATATGTTATCTACTTATATAGCTAGAGTGAAAGTGAAAGAGAGGGGCCTGGCGGTTTTTGGGTAAGCCCATACAACATGCAAATTAGGGAATCAGAAAGTAAAATAAAATGAGGGAGAGAGAGATGGTGGGTGAAAGAAATGACGTTGTAGACACGTGTGGGGATGATGAGAGAGACGTCTGTTATGACTTGAATTCATTCAGACGACCAAATGCAAGTGGGAAGGGTTTCCAAGCCAGCTAGGGACAGTATATATTTAATTTATATCTATCTATATGTATTATATCTCCTTGGGCTCAAATCTTAGACAAATTTTAAAAATTACTATCACCTCAAATGATTTGTTTTTTTGGGTCAATTATGTGGACATGTAAACGGATCGAATTCGGATCGGCAAATTTTAAAAATTACTATCACCTCAAATGATTTGTTTTTTTGGGTCAATTATGTGGACATGTAAATGGATCGGATTCGGACTGGTGATCCGATCCGAATTCGATAAGCATTTTAGTCGATCCGATAATTCGACGGATATTTTGTAAGTTAATTCGAATCCGATTTGTTAATAAACGAATATTTGATTCGATAATCCAATCTGATAAAAATGTAGGTTTATATATATATAAATTAATGTCAAAAGAGAATAAAAAAATAATAATTACAAGAAAAAGATATAAAACAAAAGATAAGTAAAATATGAAAGGAAAAGAAAAATATATATATTTACTCTAATATGAAAGGAAAAGAAAAAAAAAATTATTTACTCTTTGTTAATAAATTAAGAGTATAATATTATTAGTATGCCTATTAAGAGATTTATTAGCATGTGATAAGAGCACCACACTATTATATATATAACATTATGATTTTTTTATTTTTTTGAATTTTTAGGTTACTTCTAATACAATTTTAATAGGAGTATTGATATATATATATATATATATATATATATATATATATATATGTAAAATTATTGATAAATAATTATATATATAATTTTAATCGGATCAGATTATTATCGGTAGGACTACAAATGAACCGAGCTGTTCATGAGCAGCTCGGGCTCGGCTCGGGCTTGTTCATTAAGCAAACGAGCCGAGCTCGAGCCCAATTTCTAAGCTCATTTACTAAAAGAGCCGAGCCCGAGCAACGTTAGGCTCGGCTCGCACAGGCTAGTGAACATAGGCTCTTTAACAAGGCTCGTATCAGGCTCGTTATATATATCAGGCCCATTTGTTTTTATTGTACATTTAAAATGTTTAGTCCATATTATTTTTAAGGTTGGCTCAGTTCATATTTTTCATTAATATGGCCCAAGCATTATAACTCACTAGCCCAAAGAAAATCCACCATAGCCCAGATAAGATTTCATCTCATCCATTAAATTAGAACCCATCTCATCCGTTGATTTTGTAAGATATCAAAAACCCTAAAACTACATTCCACCATTAAGATCTGCCTCTTCTCCACAACAAATCCCATCGTCAGTCTCTCTCTCTCTATCACTCATTCACGAGTCACAAATCAACTCCACCGGCTTAGTCCACTAACGACAACCCTTCCATCTACACAACTAACTCTCTGTCTCTCTTTAATCAACTTAATCACCATAACTCTCTCTCAGATCTGAATGCATCGTTTGTCTTCGTCATCGTTGGCCGTGGTCCTCTGTCCGCTCCATGGACATCGTCCGTTGTCCCGCCGTCGTCTGTGCCGCTGTCCCTCCATCCTCGTCATCATTGGTGGCCGTCCTCTGTCCTCGCTATTGATGTCGTCCGCATCAATTAGGTACTGCACCAATTAATTTTTTGGCAAAACTTTACTTTCACTTTAATTTCATGAATCTGGACAACCGCGATTTTGTATTATTAGGCATCACCTTACTTTAATTCTTGTAAGGATTTTTTTATTTTTTACTTTTTATTTTGTCTAAGTGTTGTAAGTTCAGACTTGTTCAATTGTTCTTATAAAACAGATAGTGTTTTACCTTCCAAAATTTTTTTTTAATTTTTTTTTTTCCTTTTGTGGAATACTAATTAATTTTGAGAAGTAATTTAAAAAAAATAAAATAAAAATTTAACGAGCCGAGCCCGAGCTTCTAAAATTTAGAGAAGCCCGAGCCTGAGCTCAATTTTTTGAGCTCGTCACGATTCAAGCCCGAGCCAGAGCAGACCCCGTAAACAAACGAGCCGAGTCCGAACAGACCCAAGTTCAGCTCGGCTCGGCTCGGTTCATTTGCAGCCCAAATTATCGGATCAAATCAGCATAATCCATATTCGATTTGTTAAATTAACGGATTATCGGTTTCGGATTGTAATCGGAATATCGGGTTTTTTGTTCAATCCATATCCGACTAATCGGATCGGATCCGGATCAAGATCCACTCCATTGACAGGTCTATAATTACACCGTCAAAACATGTTAAAAGATAAATTTACCACTTTTTTTAAAATATATATTTTTTTAATTTCAAAATATCAAAAAATTGAAAGGACTAAATTGCCCTGTCAAAAAATTGGAAGGACTAAATCAATCAAACTCTCTTGACAGGTCAACAAGACATAGAAGATGTAACTTGAAGCACTTGGAATAATATTATCCATGTCACAATGATATTGTTTTTGCACTCATTTATTACCCCAATTCTTATTTTGATCAATACCCTATAAATGAACGAGGAAGAAGAGCAAGTGATCAGTCTCTTCATGACTCTTCTATTAAAAGCAAATAAATTATATAGAAGGAGAAAATAGATATTGGATCAAAGACTGGTTTGCTGTTACAATTTCTCAGCGAGTGGGTGCAAACGTTTGTCTCAAAAACTTCTTCACTCTTATATCTTCTATTGATCAATTAATTACCTCATTTAGACCCATCAAAATCAGTTTCGATATATATATATATATATATATATATAAACGTTGGTCTCAAAAACTTCTTCACTCCTATATCTTCTATTGATCAATTAATTACCTCATTTAGACCCATCAAAATCAGTTTCGATACATATATATATATATATATATATATATATATATCTGTTTTACCCGTTTGGCCATATAATTAAAACAAGCATGTGTGATGTTTAAGCGATTGTAAGCTTAGGAAAAAACAAAAGAAAATTTATGATTCATGATTTTGGAGAAAAAAAGGACCTTTTGAGGAGAAATATTCTGTTTTGTTGGGGAACAAGTCACATGTGGGCAGTTTCAGTTGATCTTATAGTTAATTATTCAACAAACCAAATATTAGTGATTTGGAATCTAACTCCTTTTATACATAGGAGGTATGGACCACCCAATTGGATGAATTTTGTATTAAGGTGGTGAAAAGTTGACAATATATATATATATATAGTGAGAGGAGAAGAAGAAGAGAGAGACATTGTGCAATTTTTATTATTTTGAAAAAAATAATAATAATAGAGTGGACGATTTGGTTAACAAGAGTTTGATGATTGGCTGTTTAATTGATATATTGTTGTACTTGTTTGCCCTTGAACTTGAATGGTGTTTAATTTTGTTATTCCAAAAAAGAATCATCTCCGGCAAAACAGTTCGGCAAGGACCAACAAACTCATTTTTTTTTTTAAGGGAAGAACATCATAGTAGAGAGCGAAAGTTTGAATAGTATATATAGAGAAAGACTGAAAATAGAGATCGAGTTGAAAGATAGTTGGGGTAGAAATATCATTTTATAAATAAAACAGTCTTTTAATAAGTCAACATAAAGTTAAAAGGGTAGAACGTTTAGGGTGTGCATAAAAAACGGACTGAAAGGTTGTAATATAAGTGATAGTAAATTTCAAAAGGTGTATATATGTGATATTTATCCAAACTTTAGGGGTATTACTGAAATTAATCCTTAATTTAAAATAGGGTAAAGTGCAATAAACCCCCTTTAACTATACTCCAAGTGCAACTAACCCCCCTCAATTATGAAATTGGTTAAGTTTTAGGACAGAGAATGTAATTCAGGTCATCTCCTATACCGAAAATTTGTAAAGACTGTTTTGCCCCTTACAACGGCACCGTATCACAATGGAGAATAAGATGACTTGAGGTTAAATTATGTGGGACATAGTGATCAGCGGAGCCAATAAATTGTTTGGGATAATTTCACTTACCTCCCCTGAGGTTAGGCGTAATTACAGGCGGTACTCCTAACGTTTCAAATATTATAGTAACTTCCCTCCAATGTGACTGAGGTCAGTTCCGGTAGAAACCCCATGTTAAATGACTAAACTACCCTTTATTGTTAAATTAATTTTATTAATTGAAAAAACCTTTAACAAAGTACCCATTCTACCCCTAATTGAAAAAAATGGTGAGGAAAGGGGAAAAAACAAAAAAAAAAGAGTGTGAACTAGGGAACAAAAATTTCATTTTTCTCGGACCTGATCCCATCCATATGAGCCTTCAATCCAAGACCTGAACAACACCGTTGTTGAATCTATTAAAGTCTGCCTACTCATTTATCAGTACTCTGAAACCCCAACACTTCTCCATTTTCGTCACAATGAACCACCTCTGCACCACCATAGCCACTGCCGATACCATCACATCTCACCTCATACACTTCTATCACCATAAAACACATATATAGTTTTATACATATATGGTAAGTGTGTGTGTATATATATATGTGTGTGTGTGCGTGTGTATGCAATCTCAATAAAGGGAATCGGATTTAGACGAGATCTGTAAATGTAGAGATTACGATGGTGCAAGTAACAACATTTCGATGAAGCATTTCATCAAACAATACATGTGCGTCATTCTAGAGTTAGACAAACATAAGATTTAATAACAGAACTAAAAAACCAAGCTTGCCGCAGTCCTCGCCAACAAGTTACTGTCGCCACTGGTTCAACAACAACATCCTTGCTTACCGATGGTCGGTATCGCTGTTGAGATCATGCATCGCTGCTGCCGTTTCAATTCGCTTCATCACCGGATCAGAGTGCCGCAG